AAATAAAAAAAGAAGATATATACATATATATTAAAAAAAAAAAAAAGAAATTCGACGAGAACGATCCAGCGTCCTCCTTCGTTTCCACGTGCATACAACAAGGATCACTTGGGCGAAATATTTTGTTCTTTTTTTATTGGAAAAAAAAAATGAGGATTAAATAAGGAAATTGTATTAGATTTATATCGATTAGTAGAATAGAAGACGAGAGCATTATCGATCTTAAAGTTTCCTTTCCCTTTAAATGATATTATATGCCATTGAAACTTGTTAGTGTCGTAGTAATTTAGCAAAGTATGAAAGATGGACGTTGATAGTTGATTAAGGCATCGTTATAGTCAAAGTTATCTTAGGTGAAAATAGATTTGAATGATTAACCCGAGAATATGTCGCTCAAATATCTTCAATCAAAATTTATTGCTAGCGAGTTGAGTCGAGTCGAGTCGAGTCGAGTCGAGTAACTTGGAAAAGGATAGGAAACGTATCTAAGTTCAACATGCTGCCTAACTATTTGGAATCGAAAGTATAATATATTACGAACACAGACAATTCTCCTATGATAGAGAGAGAAAATTCTAAGGGGTTTGGCTTTTCCAAGTTGGGAAAAGCCAAAGGGAGAAGATCCGAGTTTAAAATCATCGTAGTATAATGTTGAAAAGAGAAGAATGAGTTTGAGATATGAGAAAGGAGACGATGTGTTTTCGTCGAAAGTTCGAGGAAAAGTTTTCAGTCGTTTGGACGTGTCTATGCACACACTTATGCAGTCGGACGTATGATAAATTGTAGATGGCTGAAAACGCGCGCTCGCACAAGAGAGAGAGAGAGAGAGAGAGAGAGAGAGAGAGGGAGAGAGAGAGAGAATTCTTTGCGCCTTGAGACGAGGGATGTCATGAGTATGTCAAAGTGTCGAGGCCAGATCGTAAGTAATATGAATTTATCATAGGATCGTACATGTTACGCGCCGTAGAGCTAAGTCGAGAGTGCCGAGGGAACGAGCCTGACAAACTGACTGTTGCAACTCGAATAAAAGTATCCCTATATACATTCCGTAAATACCCTGACTCAAATAAATGGGAATCGAGATATATAAAAGAGTATATAAAAAGAATTTTCAGAAAAGTCGAATTATTTCATATTTGATAGTTTTATCATATTCGGAGTTTATTAAGTTTTTCCTTTCACTTATAAAAAGATATTAAATTTTCAATGGTGAAAATGTGAAGCTAGGAAAAGAGTAAGAGAAAATGAAAGAGAGAAAGGTTATAGATACATGTATAGAAACGATGAGAGAGAGAGAGAGAGAGAGAGAGAGAGAGAGAACACGCGTTTCTCTTTTATTCGAATCGGTTGTGACATGACAAAGTTATGTAGTTGAAAGTTGCATGAAACTATCGTGAAAACGATGATGGAAGCCGAACGGTAAAGCCTCAGTCGTTCACCACGAATGGAGATTGTTGGTCGTTCATCGAACTACGATTTCACACGTTCGGTAGACGTTAATGGCGATCAACGAGATTCTCTCGAAACAGATTGACATTTTTCACGATCGACGCTTTCGTCGAAAGAAGTTTGGCTGAAGTTGTTATTCGTGAAAAAATAAAAAGAAGAAAATAATAAAAGGAAGAAAGCGTATATTCGTTTTGTAGTAGGGGGAAAAAAAAAAGAAAAAAAAGGAAAGAAAAAAAGAAGAAATTATTATCCGACTTCGAATGATTTTTATTAGGTTGCTCCGAGATATGTACATGCATACTCGTTGTAAAACGAGGTCAGTGAAATTTTTTTCGTCAAATCAATACCGTCCAATTGTTCGATACTCGTCGACTCGTTTTTTTTTTTTTTGCCAACACGTAATAAAGTGACTTTATAGAAACCACCGAAAACTCCGATCTGATCAAATCAAATTTTGCATCGATCCAGCGAACAGAAATCTATATTCTACTCTAATCCCTCACGAAAGTAGAATATCTCAAATTATATCGTTATATAAATCTTCTTTTAACTCATCTCTTCATATGTCATATAATCATTAGAGAGAGAGAGAGAGAGAGAGGGTGAAGCGATTTTTATTCAAGCGAGAATTTCGAACGAATCGTTTAAATTACAACACGAACTATTACCCTCCCCGTGTTAGTGAGATACAATTCGGAAATAATTTAACGCGCCAACTTGGAAACTCGATGATTCGTAGTTAACGACGAATTTCCGTATTCGGGTGGTTACGACTAATGGCGAAGACCGCAGTAGAACGTTGATAGTTAGAGACATTTTAAGCAACGACGGCGTCTGCTTTTCCTCCTATCCTTTGTCCCTGTTCAAATTTATTATTCAGAATAAAGATATTTTACGTTTCGTCTCGTGAAATGTAAGAAATTCGCGTAAAAAAAGAACGAGAAAAGAAAAAAAAAAAAAAACCAGAAAAAAAAACCTTTTACTCTGTACGCTTCGTTCGAACGAAAAACAACAAAGAAAAAAGAAAGCGAATGTCAAAGAGAAAGAAAGAAAGAAAGAAAGAGATGGAAGACGAGTTCACTCTGACATTGACACGTAACTCTCGACAATACAATAGACTCCTGGCCTTCTTTGACACCTTCGAGAAGATCTTGACCTTTATTTGCTTTCTCAGTAACTAAAGCTAAAGTAACAGCAAACTGCTAGAATACGGTGCTTTTTTAGTTTTTCACTCGAGCTCGTGTCTGTTTTTCTTCCCTCGAACGTACGGCATACTACAAATAGAGAAACGCGATCAACGTTAGAAGAAGGGGATCGAGAATGAGGAGAATAAGGATGAAGGAGAGGTGGAGGAAGAGGAGGAGAAGGAGGAAGCTAGTCGATTCTCGTCGACCACTGCTACTATTCTCCTTTCCTCGAAGTTTTTTACCCTTCGAACTTTTTTCTTCACTTTCCCGATCTTCTTCTATTCATTTACTTCTACCACATCGTTCGATCTTTACGTCTTCCTTTTCTTTTTCTTTTTTTTCTTTTTTTTTATTTTTTTTTAATCTTCTCCTTTTCTTTTTTTTTCTTTCTTTTCTTTTCTCGTTTCTTTTCTTTTTTTTTTCCTCTCTCTTTTCTCCTTTTTCATCCCTCTGCATTTTTTCTTTGTCCCTTCGTTATTTATTTATTTTTTTCTTTTTTTTTCTTTTTTTTTTTCTTTTTATTCACCAAACCATTAATTACCACGAGTCTTCTCGCGTTTGTTTAATATTATTGATACACGTATAACTTAACACGTGTATATATAAATATATATTTTATATATATATATATATACATATATATATATATAAAAGAGGAAATATATAGACGTATATATATATATATATATACACATACATATACACACACATAAAGAGAATATATATATATTATATATTTCTATATATAAATATATATATATATGTATATATATATATAAGTATATTATATAATATAACGTATATTATATATAAATATATTACGAATAATATAAGATCCGAGCTGAAGCTACGAAAGCGTGAGAATGGCTATCTATTGAGCATTGCTATTGTTGCACTGAGTTTCGTGTCGGACAAAGAAGCCGCAGTTTTGTGCCCATAGGCGCAGGAACGTGGCTTTTTTTCCATTGGAACGGGCTGGAACGGGTTGGACAGACAGAGATATAGAAAGAGATAGAGAGCAAAAGAATATGTTCGACCGTATATGTATGTATATAGTTTCCGTGTGTATGTGTGTGTCAAACAGTCCTGTGTATGTATATCTCTGTATTTCCGTGTTTCTTGTATTTGCGTGTAAAAGAGAAAGAGAAACGAAAGATACAGGTAGACGGAAGAACTCGATACGTTGGAACTCTCGTGAAAGTGGCTAACCCTTTTGTAAAAATTTTGTAAAAAAATGTTATAAGCCTTCGAAAAAGACTGATCATTATGATAAAATATATATGATAATTTCTTAAAAGCAAAACGTATACATTATACTTAATAATAATACCTACCAAAAAATTCGTACTAATTCTTATTATAAAAGGATCTACCGAATTTTTCTCAATGTTAACGTTATCTAACTAATTAAATTTAATTGAAGTACGATACCATTAAATTATTCAAATCATTCGAGTTTCACGAAACAACGAAAGTATTCTGTTCGAAGATTGAAATTTTATTAAAATGACGTGGAATGATAGCTTATACTGGATGGGGAATAATTATAAGATAAAAGTTACAAAGTTATTTATATATTATATATTATAAATGAATTTTAATGAACGAAGGAATAAATAAGTATGTATAAGGATTTGTTTAAGGGAAGCTTTTCATTTATCGTTTTAAAATGTCGGCCGAGACCAACGTAAGAAAATAATTATTACGAAAGGGATGAATTATTATTATTATTATTATTATTGTTATTATAGTTATTATTATTATTTTATCGACGATAGTTACTCTCTCGAAATTTACTAGATATATACTTTCTCAAGTAATTACCTGGAAAAACGGATATACACTTGATGCGAAAAGAGATAGTTTCTCTCTCGAAATTGTTGGATAAACTTCTGTTAAAGTAGGTGTGGTGATGGGTAAAGAGGGAGGAGGAAGGGTGTATGGGTGGGTTTCGAGGTTTGGAAGGCTCGATAGGGAAGTTTAATCGAAGCAACGACGAGAGGAAGCCACTTTCGATAGTCCTCCGTTCGGCCGACTTTCCGTCTTCCTGTATCGACCTTTGAAAGGGGGCACAGAGAAAGATAGATAGATAGATAGATAGATAGATAGATAGATAGATAGAGATAGAAAGAGATAGAGAGATAGAGAGAGAGAGAGAGAGAGAGAGAGAAAGCAGTATAGATAGATATAAAGAGAGAGAGAGGGAGGGAGGATGGGAGGGAGAGAAATCTAAAAGGAAATAAAGAGAAATGGATTATTATTCGCCGTGGATAATTCGTAGGATTCGTAATGAAAGAGTTTTGGTGCTCACTGTGTTTTCTTTTTGAGGAGTGTTTAGTGTTTAGTGGAGACAGTAGTGTGTACCTGGTTGCCGTCGTAGGTCCAGGATCCGAACTTCATGTCACAGTGTTGGTCGTCAAAGGGGAACCAAGTGATGTCTATCTTGCATGTGCTCTTGAAGATGCCCGGTGGGACGTACAGGCAACTGCCGTTATGCGCGACCACCACGTTTGTTTGGTACGTCCCGTCGAAACCCTCATCCGCGCTAACGTTTCATATGTGTATAGCATATATTTCTTCGATTAATAATGGACGAGTCTTTCAAAAGGTTCCAATCGTTAGATTTTTTTTTTTATTTTATTGTTATTTGTTTCGCTTTGTTTTTCGCTCAATTATTGTTAATTTTTTGTTCTTTTCCGCCTTTTTTTTGTTTTTTGTTTTTTTTTTGTTTAGATCGATCCGATTCTCGATTGTCGTTCTAATTCGATGAGAGATTTCTTTTCTTTTTTTGGTTGTTTTTTTTTTTGATTTTCGTCTTTTTTATATATGTATATATCGAGAGATAAGATCGAGCGTTAAATGAGACATTATAATGACATGACGTTTTATCATTTACACTCTCTTGCGCGAGTAGAAATCAACGAATCTTGTATCGAAGTTAACAAAGCTACGATGGTTGATACGATGCTATTCGATTCTATAGAAATTCAAGATCAATGGTCCTCTGTAAATCTAACGTTCCTATCTAGTATTCCTTTCTCTTTCATTATTCATTCATTTTATTAGGTAAGCTTTGTTCGTTTCTTAAGAGACATTCAAACGCGATAAAAAAAATCGATGCTTATTATATCTTTCGATCAGAAACTTTTCTTTCTATTTCTTTTTTTTTTTCTTTTTCTTTTCTTTTAATCTTTTCTCTTAACAATTTCTCATAATTTACGTTGAAATTGATTACAGATAAAAAGGAAAGAATGTTAAATGGAAAATATCATAATTCTCATTTAAGATTAAGTTAATTGAAAAATATCAAAATCTTCGTTTAATGTTTCGAACGTATGAAATAAAATTATATATGTACTCGTAGAAATATGTAAACACACATACACACACACACACATATATATGTACGTCTTATTTATACTAGGATATATATTTACACATCCAATGTGAGTACATAAATAAAAGAACGGGAAAGAGACGGTTCGTTATCTCTGTTTAATCCGCAAGAGAATAATTCAGATCGCACGTTTTAAACGGTATTAAAGGGATAACGAAAGGATATTTGATAAGTAGAATTCCCGGGAATTAGTTAAGTCGCTTTAAGACGTAAAAAAAAAGAAAGAAAAAGAAAAAAAGAAAAAAAGGAAAAAAGAAAAAGAAAAAAGGAAAAAGATACTAGGAAAAGAAGATTATCAAATACGAAGAACATACTGAAGATTGTTATTGAAGATATGCCTCTTGTTTCTTTTTTTTCTTTCTTTCTCTCCTTTTCTTTTCACTCGACGTTCATTCGACGGAGAACAATTTCCCCTCTCCCCGTCCCCCATGAATTACATTCGATCTCGTTCGGCTAAGTTATGTCATGTAAATTGAAAATAAAATAAATCGAAAATAAAGAGAGAAGAAAGAAAAAGAAAAAAAAAAAAAAAAAAAAAAAAAGAAAAAAGATATAGAAGATACACGTGAAAAAGTTTTTTTACTCGACTTATCGATTAATTTACAAATAAATTAAATTGTTAATTATTGATTGTCCATTGATTTAATCTAAAAGCTACGAATACTTTTATATCGAATAATAATGCTCCAAAAGAAGAATTTAAAATTAACTCGATTATTAACTCGAAGGAAAGTATTTCGTATTACTTCTTCTCGCTTTTCTTTTAAAATGAGAGCAAACAAAATACGACGACAGCGAGGACAACGAGGAGGAGGAGGACGACGACGACGACGACGACGACGACGACGACAACGACGACGACGACGATGATGAGGATCATTCGAATCTTTGTACGTGATACTACGAAGAAAATGATGCTCAAGATAAGAAACACACTTTGCGGTATACTTTTACATTCGAAGCACGAGTACTTGATTTTTATTTTTCTCCTTTCTCTTTTCTTTTTTTCTGTTTTTTTTTTTCCTTTTTTTTCCCTCTTTTTTTCCCCTTCAAGCAAGCATCAAAGCACACGTAACCATCTATAGACGTTTCGAGTGTTGGTGAAATAACGTTGCACTTATACACACACACACACACACACGCGCACACACATAGGGTTTATTTATACTTAATTTTTCAAAGAGCTTATCATATCAAGAAAATGAGTTTCTCGAGAACATTAGAAAAGTAATCGATCCTTCCGAATCTTCTAAGTTTCTAATAATTTATCTACATCAATTCGATGTACTTTCGATAAATCTATTCTTTTAATTACTCATTTTTATTTATTTCCTTTTTTTTCTTCCTTTTTATATAATCGATTGATAAATAATTATTCCATTTCGATTTAATTCTTTTTTTTTTTTTATCATAATCGAACCGCAATCTTTTTTATACGTGAGATTTCAAAGGACCATTGAAAAATGCAAACGTTTATGCAATTATGAATATAGATATTATGTAAGAAAAGAAATTTTCGAAGATCTTCGATTGACGAAAGTCAAAGCATAGTTAATATTCTTTCGAATTTACGCTCGACCTTACTTCGTTCTTTTTTCTTATTTCTTTTTTTTTTTTCTTTTTTTTTTTTTCTTTCTTTTACGTTCCTTCTCGCAAGCCAATATAACAAAAGGATTATAATAATTCATATTACGAAACGCGATTTTCACGAGGATTAATTTAAACGTTTTGCATTGTCGATCGTTATCAAATGAAATTTAACGCTTCATGAGAATGATTTTAAATGTTGTATTTTCGGAATTTTCATTCCATTTTAAATGTTTCTTTATCGATGCGTGAGATTATACCGATTATTGTCTGTTAAATTGTATTGATATTTGCACGAATCGTTTGTTCGTTAGTTCGTTGATTCGTTCGTTGGTTCCCCGTTCATAGTATTATTTTCGAGCTCTATCTATCATGAGTATGCATCCTGGCGTATCGCAGCGTATTCCATAGATATAGTAACAAGTAATTAAGTACGCTAATCTGTCGGTGATAAGAGGTCAGATAGAGAGTTAAAGAGATAGATAGATAGATAGATAGAGAAGAGAAGAGAAGAGAGAGAGAGAGAGAGAGAGATAATACCGATTGACAAGCAATTAATCCCAACCTTTTAACAAAATACCTTGTACTCTGTAATTACTTTATAATTTAAAATGTTCATTAAGAAGAGAATGTCGATCGTCACGTAAAAACATCTACACTTTATAACAAATTTAAACTCACTTTATCTGTGTGAAGAGAAGAGATAATAATGGTAGAAAAAAAGAAGAAAAAAAAAAAAAAAAGAAAAAACTAAAGAAAAGATATAAATAAAAGTAAATTTTGTTTCTTTACAGGATTAATATTTCCTTTCTTCGAGTAATAAAATAATACGGGAGAGAAACTTTAGTGATGGTAATCGCGTCGTTGCAGTTGTTTCCGCAAACGATCAGATTTATTGATCTCTCCGTGGTAATAAACAGATATGTAGGTACTTGTACATATGTGTAAGTACTAAAATGTACAACGATAGAGTACAGATAAAGAGAGAGAGAGAGAGAGAGAGAGAAGAGAAACCACGATGGTTCGCATATTATCGACAGCAACGGCAAATCAATTCGCGTTAACGAGCCCCTCGCTGAGATTTAATGACTGAAAGGTAATACATTGATTAATGTATTCCAGATGAGATATTAAAATTTGAGTTAATTATGACTTATGGTGTGAAAGACACCATTACATCTTATATCCATATATTTTATCTAACTTAAATCATTAATCTCGTTTGTTTTAATATATTTTCAACGATACGTTTGAGATTATATTGTTACGTGTTTTGGATAATAAAATTTTCGTTTGATGACGTTTGTTGTTGCTAAATTATATTCTATAATCGTAAGGTTTTAATTAACGTGCTACGTGTAACCATCAAAGGGTTTGTTACTTGTATCACGATCTTCCGGTTAAATTAAGAAAAATGTTTATGAGAATGATCAAAGAGCAAAATATAAATAAACTAAGTAAAAATTAATTTTTCCTTTTTATTTTCCTTGATCTTTTATGAAATAAAAATTTTAATTCAACCATTACGATTTTATAAATATAAATATATAAATATTATTTGATAAAATTTATTCCTTTTTTCAAAGGATCTGTCGTATTTTATTATTAAAGAAACATTATAAGTTAAATTTGATTTCTGATTTCCCATCGAATGATAACAGGAAACATTGGGAAAACAGTCGACGTACAATGGATGACAAACAGTAGTATAGGAACATTCTCGATCGGTGAAGGACTATTCACTGTAGATGGACAACCAACGATAATAGTAACCATCATTACAGATAGCCAATAGTAATCACGCGCCACGAGTCCAATTGATAGTCGTGCGATATCGATAATTGTCGATGGTTTCATACGTGCCAGTGACATAATTATTGTTTATACGTGATATTTGAAAATCGATAGGCATTCGTCCATTAACAAATATAATATATTTATATAATTTTACATTATCGAATGAATATTTCATCTTTTTCGTTCTTCGAAATGAGATATTTTATTAAACGTTCCTTTTCGGATATTTCATTTTAAAATATTTATAAACGAGACTTAAAAAGGGGGAAATGAAAGAGAGAGAGAGAGAGAGAGAAAAAGAGAGGAGAGAGATTGAGGTCTTAGTTAAAATTACTAGATATGAATTCTGGAAAATATCATGTCGGTTAAATACCAGACCATGGTGAAATATGGTGGAAGGGGAATGGAAAAGTACGGGGATATGGTACGCTTTCAATGATAATATCCTTGAGAAATATATAACTCTCGGTGTTAGAACGTGATTCAAATAGGACATTTAAAATGTCGAAAATATCGATCGACTGTTAAAAAAAAAAAGAAAAAAAGAAAAAATAATAACGAGGAAGTTATTTGATTGGATGATAATATTCAAGAACGTTAATCATCCGTATTAATTTATTTCATAATCGATCGAGCAATAAAATTAAACACTTTTTTTTACCGTTAGTATACTTTTTGTTTCTCTTTTTTTTTTCCTTTTTTTTTCTAGCTTATGTAACATTATGATCGATAATGCGATATTTCGTTAGCAAAAATATTTTCCA